TGGAGTCATTCTGGTTTGAAACCCATCACATCTTTCCTTCATGTGGGTCAGTCTGGTTTAGACCCCATCACAGCTTTCTCTCAGCTGTGTAAGTTTGGTTTAAACCCCATCACAGCTGAGTGAGTCTGTGGCCTGTACTACGAAGTGGGGTTACTGGCTTATCGGGGTAACTCGTCGGATTTAAGGTACCACAGTTTAAATGGACTTCATATTCGTTCACTTACATTTTGCCCAGACTACCTTAAATCCGACAAGTTACCCCGATAAGCCAGTAACCCCGCTTCGTAGTACAGGCCACTGGTTTCAACTCCATCACAGCTGAATCAGTCTGGTTTCAACTCCATCATAGATTCTCATCTGGGTCAGTCTGGTCTGAGTAAGTCTGTTTTGAAACCCATTACAGGTTCTTCTCATCTGGGTCAGTCTGGCTGGAGTGTGTCTGCCTTAAAGCGTCTACCAGCTTCTCCTCATCTGGGTCAGTCTGGTCTTAATTAGCCTGGATAAAGTTTTCTCACAGCCCACCTCGGCCGAGTCAGTCTGCTCTTAATTAGTCTGCTGTAAACCTCATGACAGCTTCGCTTGCGCCTGAGTCAGTCTGGTTCTCCAAGACTGCTGATCCGCCGCGGTTTTGACCGCTGTGTTTCTTGCCTCAGAGGACCGTCTCTCTCTCTTTACTGCAGTACAGCGATCATAGGTCCTCCGTCAAAGGCCGTTCAGATGGAAACTGATTACTGATAAACACAAACAAAAATCTATTAAGAATATGTGGGCTTATCCCCTTGGGTAAGCTTCTATACAGCTTATAGATACGTTACACTCCATATGGGGTGTTGATACCAACTAACTCTTGCTGTTCAGACTGGCTCCCCATCTGCTCTGAATTCTACACTCGAAGCATTTTTTGTTTTCACCTATTTATCATAAAAAATATTAAAAAAAATTTATGATGCAGAGGAACCAGTACAGTCAACAGCACAATCTTGTCTATGCACGTCAGATTTGTTGGCACGGAGCTGCACATCATTGGATCACAGTTCAAAGTTAAGCCCTGAAAAACATCTCTGAACGCTGAATTTTTTTTTTTTTTTTGAGAAAAGTTTTTATGAAAAAACCAAGACTTCTGCATGCGTTAGTGCATTGTAAGCTGTTTGAAAAATTTTTTGGACAAACAGTTCACCACGAACGATGCTTTTCTGGCCAATGTGAACTAATGACCTTTATGGGAAGAGCGCGTTTTTGAGAGCAAGGTAAAAACAAATTATTGTTTATGTCCTCTTCGATCTTCTGGTGATCTCACTTTAAAATTTTGATGTGGTTCCAGAATGACAGACCCCACCCCTGCCACCCCCATGGGGCACATCACCCGCTGACCGAGTGTTGCCGTACATTTTTGTCTGGGGGGGGGGGGGGGGGGGGGGGGGGGGCAGTT